CCCTAACTTTATTGTAATGGTAGTTGGGGTTGCATAAGGAAATGAGGAAAAGGATTTTCGTCAGTAAAAGCAAGTTCACATCCAGCTGAGTCAGAAAGATCCCAAGAATTCAATCTGGTGAGGGGTGGGTGGTAGTGGCTTGTTAAGAATACATGTCAAGAGGAAGTGGTTAAACCTCTACTTGTTAAAAAGTACCTAATTTTTAATGGTTGTGATGATTTTCTGGAATACATACTTGTACTAGAGAGTACCATTCATTCCAGAGTTCTCTGATACTGTTTACAAAACTGTGTGAGCATCGGGTGACTTTTGGGGGCTTTGGGGTTTATTTTGTCAGGTTCCCTTGGTTTCTTCGACAAGTGAGGGATATACAGCCTCCCAGCCCATGTATCAGCCTTCTCACACAACAGAGCAACGGCCACAGAAAGAATCAATTGACCAGATTCAGGCAAGTCAGATTTCACAGGGACGGGAAGGACTTTGCTTGCAGGTGTGATTTGAATGATAGTCTGTTGCTTTGTAATTAAAGTTTTGGTTTTTTTTAGTTACCTATTGATAAGGCCACTTCAGTTCCATTTAATTTCAAATTTTTGAGCCTGTCTGTGACCAGTAAGTCCTTCATAGTAAGACTTGTAATACACTGAGTGAGAAGTAACATGACAGCATCAGCATGTGAGCATCAGTGTTACTGGTTTAGCAAATGTGCTTTATTTAAGTGAAGTTTCTAAGTTAAATTTTTGGTAGTATTCAAAAGCTGCTAAAATGTTGTTTGTTTTAATTATTAGGCTTCAATGTCACTGAATGCAGACCAGCCCCCATCATCATCATCGCTTCCCACTGCATCCCAGCCACAGGTGTTCCAGGCTGGATCTAGCAAACCTTTGCATAGTAGCGGAATCAATGTTAATGCAGCTCCATTCCAATCCATGCAAACAGTAAGTTGTGAATGAATATTGAATTCCTTTATTTTGGTAGTCATTCTTTGTGCTGTTACAGAAACACTGCAATCAGTCATGTAATTACATAAAATAGTCTTTGGTAATTCACATTTCTGACTTGCATACTTCTTTACATGATGTGATGAGAAATTGTAAAAAATTAATTGGACCAGAGAGCTGTTTTTTTGAACATTATAGGTATTCAACATGAATGCACCTGTTCCTCCTGTTAATGAGCCAGAAACCCTTAAGCAGCAAAGTCAGTACCAGGCCAGTTACAACCAGAGTTTCTCCAATCAGCCTCACCAAGTAGAACAATCAGATCTTCAGCAAGAACAGCTTCAGACAGGTAAACTTACTTTAGCAAAAACTGCAATGGCAATATTGAGTAGAGCAGATGATCAGGCTGTGAAGTCTGTAGCAAAGAAATGACTGGGTTTTGTTGTTCTGTCTCACTTTGAATATCCAGCAGCGGGTGAAATTCAATATATCTCCCTCCAACTTTTAAAAGAATTCTGTCACTTGATGGAGTTTCAGTTTTATGTGGGTTAAAAAAAAAGCTGAACAGGATTAAAAATTACTGTAAAGATGAGAGCTGTATGCTGAAGTGCTTGCTCTGCTGATCCTAAGGTTGGATGATCCTTAAATTTGCTTGAAAAAACAAAGTGTTACACTCTTTGATATGACATTTTAAAAAGGAAATAGTAAGCTAGATTTGAGAGCAAATATGGACTGCTTATCACAGGTCATGTAAGGTTCATAAAGATCTAGAACCTTGTGCTAAAATGGTTGAATACAGGAGGCAAAATGTTTTCCAACTTAGCAACCAAAAAACCCAAACAAACAGTAAGATAAAGTCTGTGTACAAGCTGTCTTACACAGACTCCCAGCACTCTCTTCACTTTCCACTGAGATAAAATTTGCAGGTGCGGAGAGAGATTTTGAGTGAAGGACACACGACAGAGATGACAAGGGTGAAGTGTTAACTACTGGAAGTAGAGTAAGGAAAAGGACCCTTTTCTCTACAGCTGATTATGATCTTGAATTATGTCTTCCTTGCAAGCTGGAATACTGAGGTGGGTGGATGAGAAGAGGGAGAACCAAGTCTTCGTTGTTTATCTTACATGTTTTTGAGCCACACCCAGCACAAGGCAGAAAGACAGTCTGGGGAATGCTAGTGTTGAAGGTGGGCCATGCAACATTAAATGGTTAATTTAATGTAATAACTACGTAAATCTAACTGTGGATACACGGAAAATTCAGTGGCCTTAGAACAAAACCTGCACGCTAATGAGACACTTGGAGATGACCACTTCATGCATTCCACGAGAATCAGTGGGAAGTTGAAGAGAAGGGAGGATCTATGCAGAAGTCCCGTAGCGTTCTGTGGCTGAGTGAAGTAGGCATAAAGTTGTGCTCCCTGATGGATGATGGAGAAATCTTCCTTTCCTGCGTACGAGAGGGGCTTTATCACTTTGCAATTTTCTTTGAGATCTTGCTTCAGCATTTGGTGTTGAACTAAATGCTACAGCTGTTCTGCTCTTACATACAGAATTCCGTCTTGTAGAATTCCGTCCACTTAGTGAACCTACAGCCCTTGGATTGCTTTTGTAATCCACTTCATTCCTAATTCCTTTGAAGTGAAGATCATGTGGCCTGCCTTACTTCAGGGATGCAGATAGTCTCAAGCTATCCATCCTGCTCTTGCCTTCTGATTTACACGTCCTGTATAAAGAAATGATTCCCCAGCCTGTGCAGTCGGAACAGCGGCTCTGGGAAACTCTTGCCATCTCACCTTACTTGGCACAGCTACACCTTAACAGAGAATTTAACTAGTGGAAGCAAGCACTTCCTAGTACCTGTCTGCCAGTTCAGAGAGGAGGAAGTTACACAGAATGGGTTAACTTACTCGCACTGTTTTTTCCAGAATGTGTTGCTGATTTTTAAAGAGTTTTAAGAGTTTGAAATAGCACAGGAGAATTGTACCTGCATTAGGAATACTTGTTGCTGAACTTCCACCAAGAGGCTTCTTGACACTGACTTAAATCAACTCTACCATTTCTGGGTTGTTTTAATATTGTGGATAGCTGACTAGTAAACTTGATACTTAATTCTGTACATTAATTTTCTTTGGAGGGTGAGCATTTACTGATGTGTTCAGGGGTATTTCAAAGCTTTGAATTTTGAGTTTGAAGAGAGTATATATTGGGACCGTAAGTAAAGAAATTCAAACTTTTATACTTCCATTTTTTCTCCCTTCTTCCAATATAGTGGTTGGTACTTACCATGGTTCCCCGGACCAGACTCATCAAGTGGCAGGTAACCACCAGCCATCTCCCCAACAGAATACTGGATTTCCACGTAACAGTCAGCCTTATTACAACAGTCGAGGAGTGTCTCGTGGTGGATCACGTGGGGCTCGTGGCTTAATGAATGGTTACAGGGGACCTGCAAACGGATTTAGAGGTAAACAGCTTTTTTAAATGCTCTCATTTGGCTTTTAATTACTTCTTTCTGGAAACACTGTGTCAAGATACCAAGTGTTAAACAGACCTGTTGTTTTTATATTCTAATGGTATTCTGTAAGTTATTTAAACTCGTCGTAAAAATTCTATTTGCTTACCTCAAGCAACTTAAATTTTAGGTGTTTGGTTAGGCTTCCTGCTAGGATGTCAACAAAGAAACATTTCATTTCAGTGCTGAAGGCTTAGTGTTAGTGTGATTGGACATTCTACTGCAAGTATAAGCAAACAAATATCCAACAGAATTTCACAACCATCAGGTGCGGAATTCAGATGCCAGTGGGCATTTAGAAATAAAAAACATTTTTGAGTTACAGTACAAGCAGTGTATTTTAGAGAGTTCCATGTTTCATCATTTGACAACAGGCTGGATAATGCAGAAATACAAGAACAATGAAGTCTAAAAGTCATTACTGTGAGGGAGTTAACAGGGGCAGAGGATTGGTACTGTAGTTCTGGATGTCATGGTTTAACTCCAGCTA